ATTTTCTTAAGATGTTTATAAGTGGCAGGTTTGTTTTTAGCAATAGTGAAAATAAATTGGAAAATTCCTAAGTCTGTATAATAATAATGATGATAATATTATCATACTGATATTGTCTTAGTGATAATAATGATACTATTAGTTTGTGGACCCACCAAATTTTGTTTGGTTTTGTATTTTTTCATTCAACTGAAGCCATTGGTGTTAAGGTAAAAATAGTTCTCGATTATTTGCTAGATTTTTTTTATATTAAATGAAGTGTTCTTTTGATTAATAGCTAAATTGCCACTAGAGATCTTCAGGTAGATTAAGGCAAAGAAATAAATTTTCAGAGGAATTAACATGCGATCTATTTTTAAGTGAGTACAAAAACAAACAATCTGACAGGTCAATAAAAGCATTGAGGACTTTAACAGGCATTGACTTTGGATCAGGAGGCTAGAGATTTCCTGGGAGTTCTTCCTAACAAGAAGTATCCTACTCCTGGTTTATCCAGCGACCTGTAAGCTGGACGGATATGCTGACACAGGGTCAGGTTCCCTAAATGCTGTTTAACACACTACCACTAACTTGGCTTTAAACAGCGCAAATGTATCATCATGCAGTTCTGTAGGCCAGCAGTCCACTTGGGTCTCACCGGCCTAAAATCAAGGGGTCGACAGGGCTACGTTCCTTTTCTGAAGGCTCTAGAAAAGAATTCATTTCCTTGCCTTTTCCAGATTCTAGGAACTGCCCACATTGCTTGTTTTGTGGCCCTTTTATCTTCAAGGCCAGCAATGTAGTATTTCTTCCACGGGCACTCCCTTTCCTGACCACAGTTTAGGAAGGTTCTACACATTGCAGGTCTTATATGACTAGACTGAGCCTACCTGGACAACTCAGGCTAATCTCCCCATCTTAAGATCCTTAACTTTAAAAAAAAAAATTTATTTATTTACTTTTAGAGGGGAAGGAAGGGAGAAAGAGGAGGAGAGAAACATCCATGTATGGTTGTCCCTTGTGCACCCCCTTTTGGGGACCTGGCCTGCAACCCAGGCATGTGCCCTGACTGAGATTCAAACCAGCGACCCTTTGCTTCACAAGCCAGCATTCAATCCACTGAACCACACCAGCCAGGGCAAGATCCTTAACTTAATCTCATACGCAAAGTCCCATTGCCATACAAGGTAACATATTCCTAGGTTCTGGGGATTAAAACATGGACTTTAGGGGGCTGTTTTTCTGCTTACCACATTTCCCTGGCTGAGAATATAGACTGTGGGACCAGTTTTCCCACACTGCGGCAAGGACCATTCCATGGCATATTCTCATTCTCAGCCTTCCAAAGGGAGAGGTTTTCCACCATAGCGCTGCAAGAGCAAGGTAGATGGAAATGGCCTTTCTCTTTCAAAATTAATAATAATAATAATAAAGATCATTGGTGACATCTCTCCCCTTAAGAACTCTGAGGGTTGTATTTTGTTTAAGTTGAGTAGCTATCTATCCTGCACATGAGAACAAGAGATAAAATACTACTACTTTGGTAATTATTTGTCTGGCTTGATTTCCATCGCTGATTATACCACATAAGCAAAGGGCATCAAAGTCCATTTCCAGACTCCTGGGTGATCCATTTCCCTTCATTGCTACTTTGTCATTTTGTGCTTTCATGATTTTGCCCATATATTTGCAACTGGGGTGGGGACCACAGCTTACCAGTCAACCGAGCATTATTTTTACCTGCATGCTATTATTCAACTTCCAAGTAACAAACTTCCTTTGAAGTTTACATATCAAAGACAAATCACTCTTCTTTAGACTAAGCCTGAACAGAGCAGCCCAGCATGCCTGGAGAGAGAGATCCCGCTGAGATCTTCTGGCAGACTGTCACCTATTGACCGAAGATCGTTGATTTTGGAAAACGATTAGTTTCATTTAGATGTTGGCCTTGGCTAAGTACTCCTTTCTTTTTATGCTTTGCCATTAAAACTGTTTACAATCCAGACGCTAACCTTTAACTTATTCTTCCTTTGAATTGTTTTGCTAATTGTTACACACAGATACTATCCCACCATCAAGGCTGTTCTTCATGCACTACAATAACAATGAATAAATCAATGAATGAGCAAATGCAACAGTGTTGTGTGGTAGATAAGCCCAGGGCTATCAAATCTCGGCTCCATCAACAACATTTCAGCACTTTTGGGCAGGTGAGCTTCTCTGGACTTCAGTTTTCTCATCTAGAAAAGGTAAATAATAATATCTACATCTTGAGTTTATTGTGAGAATTTGAGATAATATATGTAAAAATCATTGAAACAAAGAAACTGGTAGTAAATCTTTCTCAATAGGAATCATTACCTGGTGTTTTTCTCTTTGGGGATTATATACCTAACCCTCAATAATCCACATGTGGGTTATTCTCTTTGCAAATTGGCTTCAGCACAATTTTGAAAGTAAGTAGATTTTCCCATGAACTCTTCCCTTTCTCTTGGCTGACTTCCTAGTACCAGTCTCGTGTGTGTTTATAGAATGCAAACAATTTAATACTAAGCTACGTATTACATTAGTCGAAAGGTAAATTTGCGGCCACAAATGGAATACATTAAAAAACCAAACATTTATGACATTTCAGTTCTCTAACTTGCTGTTACTTGCCAAGTCTTCTGAACAAGCCAGATGTAAAAATTAATTTTATTGTATTAAATGGGGGGACAGGATATCCTGGCCAAATAATTGTAGGGTTCTGTAATTTTTTTTTTTTACTTGAAACTCTTAGATCATGTCTGTGTATAAACACCAGTATTAATTTTCACCAAATAGCTTTTCTGACATCTGAAATGTTTGCTGCCACTGGCTCGGTCGCATCATCAGGCCAGTCACGTCTGAGCTCAGCCCCTTCTCCAGACCCCTGGGGAGAAAAGTCATGCAATCGTGGCTGGCTGATGAGTTACCAACAATCCCATGGAGTTGAATCCCATAGATTAATGGAGAAGCAGCAAGGTTAATGCCATGGGAAAAAGGCTGAAATGTAAATAATTGGGAATGGTTAATAATGATAGTAAAAATTTGAAAATGAGAGTTTTAACTGAGAGTCTAGAAGGGCAAGGCATCACAATTCCAAACCAAATTAAGATATTGCACTTCTAATACATTACCAGAGGCTAGTAGATAAAGATTTATTTTTTTCTTTTTTTAAATATATTTTATAGATTATGCCATTACAGTTGTTCTACTTCCCCCCTTCATTCCCCTCCACCCTGCAACCCCCACCCCCACCATTCCCCCCTTTAGTTTATGACCACTTGTCTCAAGTTCTTCAGATTCTATATTTCCCATACTATTCTTGCCCTCCCCCCTATCTATTTTCTACCTACCATCTATGATACTTATTTTCTGTACCTTCTCCCCCTTCTCCTCCTCCCACTCCCCTGTTGCTAACCCTCCATGAGATCTTGATTTCTATGTTTCCCTTCCTGATCTAGCTGTCCTTTTAGTTTGCTTTTGTTTTAGATGTGGTTGTTAATAACTGTGAGTTTGCTGTCCTTTCACTGTTCATCTTTTTTATCTTCTTTTTTTTTAGATAAGCTCCTTTAACATTTCATATAATAAGGGCTTGGTAATGATGAAGTCCTTCAACTTGACCTTATCTGAGAAGCACTTTAACTGCCCTTCCATTCTAAATGAAAGCTTTGCTGGATAGAGCAATCTCGGATGTAGGTCTTTGGATTTCATGACTTGGAATACTTCTTTCCAGCCCCTTCTTGCCTGTGAGGTCTTGCCTTTGAGAAATCAGCTGACAGTCTGATGGGAACTCCTTTGTAGGTGACAGTCCCCTTATCTCTTGCTGCTTCTAGGATTCTCTCCTTCATTTTAATCTTGGCTAATTTAATGATGATGTGCCTTGGTGTGTTCCTTCTTGGGTCCAACTTTTTTGGGACTCTCTGGGCTTCCTAGATTTCCTGGAAGTCTATTTTCTTTGCCAGAATGGGGAAGTTCTCCTTTATTATTTGTTCAACTAAGTTTTCCACTGGTGGCTGTTCCTTTCTCCCTTCTGGTACCCGTATAATTCAGATGTTGGAGCATTTAAAGATGTCCCAGAGGTTCCTAAGCCTCTCCTCATTTTTTTTGAATTCTTGTTTCTTCATATTTTCCTGTTTGGTCATTTTTTCCTTCCTTCTGGTCCACTCCCTTGATTTGAGTCCCAGTTTCCTTTTCATCACTGTTGGTTTCCTGTGCAATTCCCTTCATTTCAATTAGCTTAGCCTTCATATGTTCCTCTAATTTGTGACTAAAATCAACCAGTTCTGTGAGCATCCTGATCACCAGTGTTTTGAACTGTGCATCTGAAAGTTTTGCTATTTCTTTGTCACTTAGAGTTATGGGCTCTGGGGATTTGAGGTCTTCTTGAGCCATTTTTGGTCTGTTCGTGCCCGTTAAGTATGAGGAGCAGAGCCTTAGAGGTGGGACGGGGCCACCAGGGCGGGGTTGCTGGTTTGTGATGCTGTATGTGGGGGCAGGGTCAGAGCAGGGAAATGGCAGCCCTCTCTGCTGCCTTCTGCCGCTGGGGCCTGCTCGGTCCCGTCTCAGTGCCCACTCCCTCGCCGGTCCATCTGCGCATGAATGTGCCACCACAGTCAACCTGCTGCCCTGCCCCCTACCTGGATCTGCTAGTTGCTCACTGAGTCATTCACTGAGTCCGCCCTTTGCAACCCCATGCCTGGGATCCGCGCGCCTGAGTCTGTCTGACCAAGTTTTCCTGTGCAACCCCATTCTGCTAGCTGCTGGCTTTGCCCCTCTTACCGGTCAGGCTGAAGAATTCGTTGTTATCAGACTTCTGAAAAGTTCAATTTTCTGTGTTCTGGCTATGTTTTCTGTTGCTAATATTTTATTGTCTCTAAACTTGGTTGTGTGAGAAAGCACAGCGTCTCCACCTATGCCTCCATCTTGGCGGAAGTCCTAGATAAAGATTTAAAAAGAAGAAGAAAAAACAATACATAAATATTCCTGTTTTTTTTTAGGAAGAAGAAAAAAATAAAATTTAAAAAAGGCCAAGGCCAAGTGACAATTAGTGGGAAGAGCATGGATGTGATTCAGCATCATGAGCAAGCTCCACCTCGTCCATCTGTGCTGACTGGTCCAACACCCAGTGAGGAAGAACAGCGTGTCTGTCCTGTGCTCACTTTTATTTTCTTTTTCAAACAACTTTATTGAGATAAAGTTCACATACCATAAAAGTCACCCACCTAAAATATACAATTCAGTGGTTTTCAGTGTATTCACAGACATGTGCAGCCATCACCACAGTCAATGTTAGAACATTTTCATCCAGTCGGAAAGAAACTTCGTGCCCATTAGCTGTGACTGTCTATTTTCCCATTCAGGCCCCAGCCCCAAGCAACCACTGATCTGCTTTAGGAACCTATAGATTAGCTTATTCTAGACATTTCACATAGGTGGAATCATATAATGTCGCGTCTTGTGCCTGGCTTTGTTTTCACTTAGCATAATGTTTCGAAGGTTTATCCAAGTCATAGCACGTATCAGTACTTCTTTCCTTTTTTATAGCCAAATATTCTGCTGCATGGATAGAACACATTTGCTGATCCACCCATTAACTGAAGGACAGTTGGGTTATCTCTACCTTTTGGCTCTTATGAATATTATGAATAAACATTAATGTCTAAGTCTGTGTGGACATATGTTTCCATTTCTCTTACATATATACCTAGGAGTGAAACTGCTGGGTCATGTAGTGATTTTATGTATTATCTATTTGAGGAACTGCCAGGTTGTTTTCCAAAGTAGCTGCACCATTTTATACACCAGCAGCAGTTGTACCTACTCTCATTATTTGGTTTTAAATAGCTTCTTTTATGTGACAAAAGAGGTGGTATGAAAATACAGAATTTACATTTGGGGCAAAATGGCCCAGTATTACTAGTATTCTAAGAAATGTTTATTTTCTACACCATGGTTCTACTACAGCTGTGAGCTGACTTTTCTTCGTTATGTGCTGTAATGATTAAGATGGTCAAAGGAAACTCTAATGCTAGATAGAAAATACATTTAAAAATAGTTCCTATATTACCACTTAAATAATAAACAGCCCAAAGTCCCCCTACCCCACCACCTCAAATGGGCAACCTTTTCCTCACCCTTTGCTCCTCTGGGTGCTTTCCCCTTGCCAATGGCTTGGGTTAGGTCACCGCGGGGTGAGCCTCCCAGAGCCCTTCTACTTCCGCCAACATGACGTGCATCACAGTTTATTTTCACTGCTACATTAATATTTGTCTTGTGCTCCAGTCGAAGGCACTGGGGCAAAGTGACCTTGGCTATCTTCCCACATATTCCCAGCGTCTAGCCTATGTGTCCACTTCATAAGTATTTGTTGAGTGAAGGAACAAGGAAGGTTTACACTAGAGTTTTCCTGGTTACTAAACTTTTCAGTGAGTGTGTATAAATTAGGCTTTATCAAGGCATTTGCTTGGCTTAAATACAAAAAGCCCAAGCTGCATTTTAGCTTTTTGACACGCTCCAAGAACAGGCTTATTTTACCAGCAAATTTCTTCCTGCGTCAGCTAACACTAAGCTGTGTTCAATACTTGTCTAAAAACTATTCTAATCTTCCCTAACAGAGGCCAGAGACTAGCTGAAACAGCTCTGCTGACATTTGGGAAGCTCTGGTTCTGTCAGTCACTTTCTGTTCTTTATCATGTTTGGTTTTTTTTTTCCAAAGGAAAAAGCTGTTTTCCTGTGTGTGAGAACATTCTCTCCTACCTAATAATGCTCAATTGTCTTTCTCTTCCATTAGTGTGTGGGGAAATCTGCCCAGTTGAAATCAGAGCTATGCATGTCAAAGTGTCTCATTCTATATAGATATGCAGCCGTCAGACTGGAGGGAAGGATTGCCTTTAATGAAAACAAGTCATTTTTAACCGATACGACTATAGAATTTATATGACCATGGCTATCTAGATCAAGTGATTTGGCATTTGTGCTTCGAAAGCTCCCCCCATTTAAACAATGACTTGCAATGTAAGGCTTTCTGGATCCAGGTTGCTTTCCCACATTCCACACTCACTCTTCTGTCCAGTGCAGTGCCCAGCACAGGGCCTGGCTCAGGGAAGGTACCCAATTCACAACGCTTTCTACAAAACAACCACCAAAATGACTATGTTTCCCCTTAATACCTCCACTTGACAGTCCTTCTACCTGGAACAGCAGCCGCAGCCAGCAGCCAAGTCTCCCTCCTCTACTTACCCTCAGGTCACATCTTAAATGCCATCCCCTTAGACCTCTCAATCCCTTAGGCTACTCTGACAGAGCTGTTGGTAAGACTTCACACTTGTAAGTGCCTACATAGCATTTGCCAAGTGCCAGGCACTGTTCTAAGTGATGTGTACATATGTTAGTTTATTTAACTCTCTTAACAATTAGATTCCAAGTTTACAGAGGAAAAAGTGGAGACATTTGAACCCCAGCAGTCTGACTCAGGGTCTGTGTGTGTAACCAGCTTCTTTAATGTCTTTTTGTTAAACTTCCCCATCCCCACTCTCCTCCCCCACCCCCGCCCAATACACACACAAACAAACCATGAGCTAGGAGGCTCCGGTTGGATAGGGTCAATCCCCCCTGTCCTTGTACCCCATTCCCAAGCCCAGCACCTAGCACAGAGTAGGAGTATTTATGAATGGACTTCCAGAAAACAGATGGGCAAAGGAACTTCAGGGGAAAAAAGTAATCTGTACCTGGGTCCCGGCACTGAATAGGCTCTGTGCTCGATATTTTCCATCAAGAGATGCACTTGCTAGTAGCCGACCTCAGAGAGCCCGAGTGTACCATGCCCATGTCATGTACCATGACGAAGCCAGTTCCTGCCTCTCTGTATCCCAGGGGCTTCAGAGCTAGCTGTATCCTCCTCAGGAAGCAGGGGACACAGGAACTCCAAAACTGGGCATGCGTGATCTGGTGTCTGCTCTGACACTGGCCATCGAGTGGGATCCAGGAATGATGCTCAAGAAGGTTATTGACTTATAAGAAAAGAGCTGACATTTATTAGGCCCTTCCACAGTGTTCCAGAAACTCCCACTGTGGGCTCAGATCCTTACAACAATTCTTCGAGGAAACTTCCTTGTGGGGGTTTGAGATGATGAGGAAACGCTCCATGAGGGCGGCGCTGTATCCCCATCACCTGGTGCAGCTCAGAGTGGCCCGGAGTGGGTGATCAATAAATATCTGTCGAGTGAACTTTGTAGATGAGGACACAGAAGCTCAGTGCATTCCAGTGGCACGTGCATCAGCACTCGGCTGGCAAACTCTGCAGTAGAGATTTCAGTGAAAGGCTCTCTGCAGCTAAGCCATGCTCTTCCCACGTTTCACACTTACTCCACACAATTTCCCCTTCCCAAGAAACTTCTTGATACTCTTAGAGTCTTGAGGGTTCAGGGGTGACTAACATGATACCCAGGGTCCAAAATGTGAGTCTTAAAAAATTGTACTTGTGTGGCTTGGGGTGGCTGTGGATGTCAGAGAACCTCAGATGTTCTTCCATCTGAAAGCAGAATGGGTCTGTGGAAATGTGGAAACCAGATTCTGAGGGGCTGGTGCCTCCCTTTCCCACAGTTCCTCAGATCTGTCTCTTCCCCTTATTGTCACTCTTCACAGACACACACAGAAGTCAAAAAGGCTCTTTCTGCATCCTCTCATTTCCTGGACATTCATGTCAGCAGGTTCTCTTCTTTTCCTGAATATTCGGGCACTGCTGATGTCCCTGTTAAATGCACTGCTTCCAGGGCAGACTTTCAGGCTGGCTTCAAAGACAGACAAGCCTTAACTCGAAGCTGTGCACTGCTTTTTCAAGGCCCAAAGAGCAGCCGAAATGTGAAGTGATGTATCTTTTACAAATGACTGACCTCATTTCACTCTATAAAAATGCTGAGCTCATTATTTATGTGGACTGCCTATCTCCTCATTATCAATCTTGGAGAGAAATTTTCATCTTCCTACTTTAATGTTATATACGTTTAAGATTCTGTTCCCCTTATGTGCAAAAAAAAAGATTAGCAATCTGTGACAGTATTATGAATAACCAGGGAAAAGATGGACCATTCTAACTAGTTGTACAAGAGGTGCTATCAGATGTAAGTAGATCAGTCTCCTCACCTGCAAGGTCCTTTCTTGTTTGGGATGTCTGTCTGTCTGAATGTCTGTCTGTGAGGGTAGTAATGGGTACGGAAACCCTGCTAACAGCTGAGTTGGGCAGCCATGGATCTCAATTTACACATTTAAAAACTGGTAGCAGCTAACTTCAAAAATACGTTCCTATGCAAGAAACTGACTATGCTGGCCTTATATGTCAGTAAGTGAGACAACTGGTCACTACTTGGCACAGTCTGAGGTTCACACTAAAAAACAAACTATCTAAATTTCGACACTGCGCAGTCTGATATGTTGCCCTAGCACACAGACTGTTAATCTGAGAGTTGAAGAGATATAGTGAAATCAAATGTAGAGTGGGCCAAACTGAAGAGACAGATGGTATCCCAAAATAGAAATTGCACGTGATTTACAATCTCGGCACCGCTCTTTCTCACTGTGTGTCCTCTGTCACATGACTCAGCCTCTCTGAGCCAAATCTTCCCCATCTCTAAAGGAAGTTTAATGATATTCACATCACAGGGTTGTGGCAAGGGCAAAATGAGAGAAAGTTAGCTAAAGCACCAGTGCCCCCCACCTTAGCCTACCTGAGGCTCCAACTGTGGACAGCATAGTGCCCGCAGGATCTCATCCCACTCCTGGCTTTCCTCACCGTTTCCTCAGCCTCGAGTACCTTACCCTTTGTAGTTCCCTCTTATTCTCAATATTCTTTTTGAGGTATATTTTATTGATTATGCTATTGCAGTTGTCCTAATTTCTTCTCCCCTTTATCCCCCCCACCCTGCACTCCCTTTCCCTCCAGCCTCTCTCCCCTTAGTTCATGTCCATGGATCATGCATATAAGTTCTTTGGCTTCTGTACCTACCATTTGTGCTTCTTATTCCATGTACCTTTTCCCCTATTTTCCCCTCTCCTCCTCCCCACTGACAACCCTCCATGTGATCTCTATTTCTGTGATTCTGTTCCTGTTCTAATTGTTTGCTTAGTTTGTTTTTGTTTTTAGGTTCAGTTGTTGATAGTTCTGAGTTTGTTGTCATTTTACTGTTCATAGTTTTGATCATCTTCTTTTTCTTAGTAAGCCCCTTTAACATTACATATAATAAGGGCTTGGTGATGATGAACTCCTTTAACTTGACCTTATCTGGGAAGTACTTTATATGCCCTTCCATTTTAAATAATAGCTTTTCTGGATAGAGCAATCTTGGATGTAGGTCCTTGCTTTTCATGACTTTGAGTACTTCTGTCCAGCCCCTTCTTGCCTGCAAGGTTTCTTTTGAGAAATCGGCTGAGAGTCTTATGGGAACTCCTTTGCAGGTAACTCTCTCCTTTTCTTTTGCTGCTTTTAAGATTCTCTTCTTATTTTTGATCTTGGCTAATATAATTATGGTGTGCCTTGGTGTGTTCCTCCTTGGGTCCAACTTCTTTGGGACTCTCTGAGCTTCCTGGACTTTCTGAAATTCTATTTCCTTTGCCAAATT